CCCAATTTCTATTGTTATTATTATTTAAACAAACTCTATTATTTAAAAAAATAACTGAATGTAAACACTTAAACTAAATCCACTTGTATAAGTTTCATCACAATTATATCCTTTATATACGCTTCCTAATAGTTAAATGGCGGCAAATAATTTTGAAAAGAACTTACAGGTGCCGTTGACATTTCTGCCGAGTATCCTAGGCACGGCGGCGACCGGCACGCCGGCTGATTGTTGATGGTTGCTGGAAGAATTGGCCACAACGACGACGGGATTCTGCGAGACGCAGGATGCGGACGCGAGGGTCGCGACGACGGTCGTTCCGCCGCTGCCGTTGCTGATAGCGGTTACGGGGGTGCTCGGCGTGGAAGGTATCGGCGAGGGCGTCGCGACGCCTCGCGTCATTCCAGCTGCCGCCGCCGCCGCCGCCACCGCAACTGCTACCGATGTCTCTTCCGCGACCGGCGCACCGACGACCACGCGCGCGTCCATCGCGGCCACCGGTGCTACCTTGGTTTGCAGCACCCGCTTACGGTACCCCGACGAGCACGGGCTTCCAGATCGACCACTGCCGGTAGCATTCAACGAGGCGCATTCGATCGCCGCGCGTTTACGTCGGCCACGAAAACAATGTAACGCGAGCGACGAAACGAAACGAGAGCGGATTCCTCGTAGATCCGAAAAATCGTTTCCTCGATCGCGTTATCGCGCCGCGCCGATCGCGAGAATCATCGTCTCGCGACGAGACAATTCTTTATAGGTTAACTCGCGTTAAAAAAAAAAAAAAAATGAGAGAAAAGGAAAATATTGCGACTCTCGAAATTTGTGATCCTGGATAATAACAAATGAGATAATAATCGTCGAGTCGCGGAACGAGAGCACCACGTATGAACGTTAAGAAAAGAAGAGATCGTCACGCGTGCGGGACAGTGACACGGACACCGACGACGACGCGTTTCGAACGCTGGCGCGGTACACATTGCGCGCCGCGCGACGCGCGATGAATACACACGGCGTATCTTTCGCTTTCGCGCTGCCCCTCCCCTCCACTCGGTGCGGCGCGGCCGGCGCGCGGCACCGACGCACCTCTACCACCCACCAAAGGCATCGCGTCGCGGCGCGGCACGCCGCGGTCTCTGGGATCTGTCAAAGCGAATAATAATATGATCGAGAAATATATTTAACTTGTATAACACTTTTTCATCATTAATTTGCTATGAATGATGCGCTATAAAAACTATAGAGTAATTCGTCGTCGATACAATTGAAAAAGAAAGGATGATTTTAAAAAAACAAAAATATATCAAAAACTTATCAAAGATTTAACTGTCAAAAAATTGATAATTTTTCCTTCTAATGATTGTTTAAATATAAAAAATGCAAATCTGCGGGAGATATACGCTTGAGAGGAAAAATTAAAACTAGGACGTCCCATATGTCACGGACAAAGCATAGTAAACAACGGTGATTGCGTTAATAATAAATAATCGAGAGATGGATATATACGAGTACCGCGTTTTTGTTTACCTTTTGTATGTTACGTATAATTTTAGAGCGTTGACGGAGAACTTGAGAACGGAAAGCCTGCAGTTTCCTTCCAATGTATGAAATGCCATAAATTATTAATTTAAAGCTTGATATTAATTATTACATTACATTTCGTATAACACTTTCAACATTGATGAAATAATCGATTTTAATCCTTTATGGAGAACAGAGTGTTAAATATTTTCTCTGAAAAATTTAAATATTAATTATTCGTGATTTAAATTATCGTATTTACAATAATTTCTTTATTACATTTGATGAAATTTTCACGGACAAAGATTATTTTGTATCTTTATAAGCAAATAATAGTATCCCGTTTAATCAAAAACACATTAATAAATACACAAAACACGTGTAACTACGTCTAAAAATTAAAATGCGCGTAACGACATGTCCTAGAGTCAAAGAGCAAAAGCGATCTCTACTTTTGCCCGTGACGGATAATTAGCATCGTTGCCCAGCAGCTCGTAACCCCGGCCAGGCCAGGGGGTTAAAATCAAGCTAGGGCACGCCGATTGCGACGAGCCATCGAGGGCATCGGGGCCATCGGGGCGACGAGAGGCGTGGCCGCGCGAATCGGCCAGAGATCGCGCTCTGTGCAGACTCCAGCACCGGGCACCGGGGTCCACAGCAACCAGCAACGATGCGAAAACCGTCGTTTCCCCCCTTCATCTCTCCTCTTCCGCTCGTCTTACCGGTGTCGTCGTGGTATACACAAGCTCCTCCCCGGCTCTCGTCGCGGCTATCGTAAAAACGCGCCCCCTGCGCGCCTCATGACGGCGGGGAACGACTGGAGGAATGAGGGGATGGAACGATGGGAAGGGCGCATCGTAAAAGCCCATCTTCCCTCGTACCCCTTCCTTTCTCCCTCTGCGCCCTCCCTTAGCCACTGCACCGTGCAACCCCTGCGAAATATACGCCTGCCTCTTTACCTATCTACACGCGGAGAAACCGACATTTTTACAGGGTGGTACCCGAAATCCTCAGCATGTGGTTCCCTATAAAATTCACGTCTTACCTCTAGAATCTTCTTTCTCACTCTTCGCTCCTTTCGCCCCTTTTTAGGCATGCATGCCTCAATATTTCGACGTTAAAGGGTCGCCACGCGAGGGGTACAAGAAAATCGTGATAGAAAATGTTCACTTAGATAATCCTCATGTCTTTGAGATATAATGCGCCGAAAAGTGATAAAAAGTTTTAAAACTGCAATAATTTTGAAATATAGATAAAAGAACGTTTTTCTTTAGTATGTTACATGTTAAATGTGTACATTTAATATATATAATCAAAATATTAAAAAAAATTAAAAACTTTTCTATCTTTTAAAAATATATGTATGGTATAGCATTGTATACAGATTGTGCATACATCCGATAGTATCGTTGGAACAAAATTCCAAAAAGTATTATTGGAAATTATTGGTACAAAATTGTGATAAAGCGTATTCTTTGACCGATCGCTTTCAATTCAGATTATTAACATTTTCATACATCATCACTGAAAAAAAATGACTTTAAACTGTCACTTCAAAAGTGACTTTAAACTCAAAAAATATCTATCGCAAAATTTTTTTATCAACAGTTATCTTTTTCTTTCTTTTTCTCTCTTTTCCTCTCCTTTCCTTCTCTTCCTTCGTTCTCTAAATTCGCAATAATATTAAATTGAATATAGAGTCGCTCTCTCGAGACATAAAATTCTCGGAATCTCGGTTATCTCTTAAAAATATTTCCCTCCTTCTTTTCTCAACTCTTTCTTTTAACCATCCTTCATCGCTTCTCGCTACTGCGGACTATTCTTTTTCCTCCTTCGTCGACATCACTGCGATTCTTTTTGCCGCCACCCTCTGCTCTCCTCTTTTATTTTTGCCCACCATCCTTTTTCCTCCCGTTCATTCAGAGTATGTTTTCTCTTCTCTGTGCCTCTCCTCGCTCTCTTCCCCACTCCCACAGCCTTTCTCCGGACCGGTAGGAAAAGCGCGCGAGAGAGACTTTTATTTTGGCACGTAGAAAAAGCAAGGCGGAAAGGGAGGTTTTGCCGGCAGACCGTTACTGCGAGGCGGACGTTTTTTGCGATAGCTCCGTAATCCGTGAAAGGGTGAGAGAACGCCGGTAGAAACCAAAGGCGTCGCGACGCTGGCTCGCTCGCTTATTCGAGATTTGCATAGAGCGATGCCGATTGCGCCTGCATTACAAGTGAATGTACCGTTAATTCTTAGATGATTTCACTTTTTTCCTATTTGTGTGTGCTGAGAAGATTATTCGTACAATACGAAAAAGGGATAATTTTGCACGAAAGAAATATAGAGAATATAAAATAGAATTGCCTTATATACAAAGTGTTTTCGAGAATAAAAATATTATTTTTATATGCACGTATACGTACATATATGTATATATTGTATTATCAAATATTATTTCATCATATATTCACACACATAGTACAGAAATTCACAACTTTGGAATATCTTGAAATGATCTCTATGATCTTAATTATTTTTACTCTGAACGTAAAAAGTATTAACTCTCTCTTATTCAGAAATACCAAAGTTATAAAAAGATTAATATGCGCCATATCTTTGGACGGTTCTAATTATAATAAAGTTTCCTATTTTTCTCTTTAAATGTGAAAATTAAAATCAAAATTATTATCCAAAATATATAATACTAAATGTGCGATATGAATACAAGCCTTAGGACATATCTCCGCATCGTGCGAGAGAAGAAAAAAAAAGTTAGCAGAACGTGCTTAACGAAGGAACATAGTTCCTTGGTTGGAAAATATGCAAATTTGCAGGAGGAGCCTGAGAAACACTTGGAAAGGGTCGCACGATGGACAATTTTTTGACCAAAGTATCCTAATGCTAATAGCAGAAAAACCGACAAAAAACGAAGGGGATAGGCAACCGGTGAACATTATTATGCGTGAGATTCCCGACTGAAATGCCGTAGATGATCGCAGCTGTTTCATTTCTCGCGGAAGTCAGGCGGGATCAAAATATCGTAATAATAATCTTATTTCGAGATGCAAAAATGTTTTTCAATACATATAGTTCTGATTGAAAATACGAAACGATTTTAACAAATTATCGTAAACCAACGTACATAATTAACAATCGCGAATTAAGAGATGCCGGCTTAATATAAGATGATATAATAAATCTTAATATAGTTATTAGAATTATTATATATAGTTATTAGAATTATTATTGTTAATTATCAATTTTTGATTAATTAAAAGGCATGGTAAATATAAGATGTTATTTTTTCCAGAAGATTTCTGAAATATATTTCTAGAAATAATTAATCATCTTATCATATCTTCTAAACAAGAAATATATTTTGTAATTATCATATATATTTTATAATTATCAAAGAGTTAGGATCTTTTCACTATAAGAAAAAGATTGTAGTTTTTTTTCTCTAGAAAATATATTTGAGAATCGTACTTACAATAATTTTCTTTATGTGCGTTACGCTATGTTTGATAACGTGCTCTCTTATAATACTGTTAGGATGTGTTCAGAAATCCTGGGCTCAAATAGTGTTTAATTAACCAATCAGGAAAAAGAAATCTTTGCTAATTTTGGTCCTGATTAGTCAATTAAATGTTACTCGGAACGCATCTTTATAAGAAGCGACCAATTATTTCGAATCGTATATTAATTTAATTAGGATGGTAACGCTCATCATCGATCGCATGTACCGCAATCGGTGTCCCACTTATCGCTATTACGTTAATTTACGTCGTGAGATATTTTTTCTCTTTAAAGAAGATTAATCCATTATTCGTACAATACGAAAAAGGGATAATTTTGCACGAAAGAAATATAGAGAATATAAAATAGAATTGCCTTATATACAAAGTGTTTTCGAGAATAAAAATATTATTTTTATATGCACGTATACGTACATATATGTATATATTGTATTATCAAATATTATTTCATCATATATTCACACACATAGTACAGAAATTCACAACTTTGGAATATCTTGAAATGATCTCTATGATCTTAATTATTTTTACTCTGAACGTAAAAAGTATTAACTCTCTCTTATTCAGAAATACCAAAGTTATAAAAAGATTAATATGCGCCATATCTTTGGACGGTTCTAATTATAATAAAGTTTCCTATTTTTCTCTTTAAATGTGAAAATTAAAATCAAAATTATTATCCAAAATATATAATACTAAATGTGCGATATGAATACAAGCCTTAGGACATATCTCCGCATCGTGCGAGAGAAGAAAAAAAAAGTTAGCAGAACGTGCTTAACGAAGGAACATAGTTCCTTGGTTGGAAAATATGCAAATTTGCAGGAGGAGCCTGAGAAACACTTGGAAAGGGTCGCACGATGGACAATTT